GGGTGTATCTACAGAATTCTATGTATCTCAATTTGAGCTGGACGACAAGTTTCTTCCCAGTCAAATTCCAGAAACTAGAATTGTGATACACAACAGTGCAAAAAAAGTTGAATCAACCCCAGTACCATCTCATAGGAATCGGCGACCAAGTAGATGGTATTCTTCGCCTTATGAGCCTAACTTCGACTCTGCAGGTTAGTGTTTTTATAAACTAATGATCTATTTCCTCATGATTTTTAAAATTAAAAGTCTCTATTCACGAATTTAATGAACAACAGGTACCTTAGTAAAGTTGACCCCCATTTTTGAAAAAAGACACCCCTTTAAGGATGATTTAATAACGGGGCCACATCCTACATTAATCATTCAGGAATATGACAAATGGGTTCGTGATGATCTTCTCGCTAGACATGATCAGAGGTGAGTTTTTCCCCAGTATGTGTATTAAGTTTTTATATTTTAAAAAATGTATATAATATTTTTTTATATCATACATGTAGAAGTAATTTGGAAGACCATTACAAGAAGAACAAGTCATCACTTCATATGCCATTGGATTTTGGAGTTGATCAAGTTAATTCAAAAAATTAGTTTTACCTTCTATCATTTGACGGGAAGCTATGGGATGACAACGTAAGTTTTACCCCTTCCAACTGCACTATAATTTATTTATTTAGTATTGATTTGTCTAGTTGTATAGTTCACAATGATGTTACAATTGAATCTGCTGTATTTAATTATATTCAAGTGTATTCTAACAATTTTTATTAGCTAAAAATGTATCATGTTTTAAACTGAATCTGTATGATGAATGTAATGGCATCATTACTCCTGAAGAACTATTGTATTTTAATGTATTCTGATATATTTTCAAATTTATTATATGTTGTAACTACCATATGTATTACAGTAATATGTATTTAACTGACTCATTTGCTTTGAATAACAACATGTATTGGAATGTATTTAGATGTATTTTAACATCAATGGGTAGTTGTAATATCTTTAATATCTGTTGTAGTATCTTGAACAGTATTATCTTCTCTATTTTAACAGTTTCTGCTGTAATACTTGTTGTAATATCTGCCGAATTTTAACTGTATTCATACACTCTGTATTTTAACATCAATTGGTATTTATTCTTGAATATTTGCTATAATAGAGTGTATTCAGATGTATTTTTCTCTATTCATATGTATTATTCTTTAATCCGTGTGATGCATTTAACTGAGTTTTCACTTGTCATATTTTTTTTCTTAGTTTGATTAATTGGACTCACACTATATAATTAAATTTATGTATAGCATATTGACGTCATATTCTACTATCTGAGAAAGAAGAGAAAGTACAATCAAACAAGCAACTTCAAGTATACAACTGTTGATTGTATATTCGAAACAAGAATAGCTGAAATCTTCGACAGGTATGCTGATACAGATAATAATGCTAATGTAGCCAAAGAAGAGGATGTGGTATGTGAGTACATAAGGGGCTACATATTGCTAGCTAATGTACCTTGGCATACTGTTGACAATATCTTAATACCAGTCAACTTGAAGGACAGACTATACTGGGTATTGGTTGTTGTCTCATTCAAGGAGAGATGTATCAAAGTGTATGACTCATACAGATCTGCAGGTCATGATGCCTATGTAGCTTCTACGATAGATAAGCTAGATAAGCTTGTACATCTGTATCTATCAATCAGTGGCTTTTACAGAGATAATCAAGGCATAGATTGGTCTACTTACTCAGCATACACTGACAAGTCACATACTGATACCTTTGAAGTTTTTTTTCATATCAGATCTGCCTCAACAGAAAACTGGGAGCATGTAAGTATTCAATCATCATTCTTGTATGTTATATACAAATCTAATTGTATGAATTGTTTTTAATTGTTTCAATCAACATTTGTTTAGGGATTATGGGGGTGCATGTTGCGACATACTCAGAGTTTTTGAGCACTCTTGGTGATATTCCACAAACAACATTTGATTCCAATCTACTTCGTCAAAGATATGGTGCTCTCCTATGAGACTATGCTATGCGAAAGATAGACGCTGATGCCATAAGCGAGAATGAAGCACCCTCAAAGATTGCTAGGCAAATCACAGAGTAAATTCAAAGTTGCAGATAGTGTTAGAGTAGCTTTAGATTAATGTAGTATTAGAATGTTATTTTTAGGTGAATACTGTTTTTGAGTAGTTTTTTGGTGAAGATGGTATTCAGTTAGAAAAAACCATCACTTTATCAACAATGTTCATGTATGACAATTGCAACTTTTCAATCAATGTTTCATTGTTTTCTTCATAATTATTAATGCTTATTCTTCAGTTTATATTCATATGTATTTTACAGGATATAAGTATGTATTAATAATCAGTAATATCAAAGGTTATACGTATTGAACAGGTTAACATCGAAGTCAGAAACTTTATGTATACTGATGGTAGGTTATATTAAAGAATTCAGATGTATTTTTTTGTATTCAACTGTATTCAGCTGTATTCAACTATATTCAACTGTATCGATGAGGATGTCACACACCGTATAGGGATGGGGTAGATAAAGTGGAGGTTAGCATCGGGAGTCCTGTGTGACAAGAAAGTGCCACTGTTACTAAGAGGTAGGTTTTATAGAGCAGTGGTTAGGCCTACCCTGTTGTATGTGACCGAGTGTTGGCCGGTTAAGAACTCACACATCCAGAAGATGAAAGTAGCAGAAATGAGGATGTTGAGGTGGATGTGCGGGCATACAAGGATGGATAAGATTAGGAATGAAGATATTCAAGAGAAGGTGGGCGTGGCCCCCATGGATAGTAAGATGCGGGAAGCAAGACTCAGATGGTTCAGGCACATTCAGAGGAGGAGCACTGATGCACAAGTGAGGAGGTGTGAACGACTGACTGTGGTGGGTACGAGGAGAGATAGAGGGAGACCTAAGAAGTATTGGGGAGAGGTGATTAGGCAGGACATGACGCGACTTAGGATTACTGAGGACATGGCCCTTGACAGAGAATTGTGGAGATCGAGCATTAAGGTTGTAGGGTAGGGGAAGTTGTGAATATTTCTGCAGCGCACTAGAGTGAGACTAGCCAGTTAGGAGTTAGTCTTAGGATGCTACTGGTCAGCTACTGATGCAGGGCTTTATCGGCTGGATGTTATTATACCTTCCACCTTTCATCTTTTTAGTATTTCTATATTTCCTACATTTCTTATATTACTGTTATTTTGTAGTTTATGTTATTTTATTATGAGTCAATTAATCGTACTAATATATCGTCTCTTGTTACTTTATTGAGCCGAGGGTCTCCTGGAAACAGCCTCTCTGCCCCTCGGGGTAGGGGGTAAGGTCTGCGTATATATTACCCTTCCCAGACCCCACTTGTGGGATTATACTGGGTCGTTGTTGTTGTCAACTGTATTCAACTGTATTATTCAGCTATATTTAGCTGTATTCAGTTGTATTCTTTAATATGTATCTTTCAAATTCAGTTAATACATATTAAAGAATACAAATTCAGATGTATTGAACATGTTATAGGTATTTATTGAAATTGTTATATTATAGCTGAGTATATAGATGTATTCTGATGTATTCTGACTAGCTATCTATATTGAACTCAGACATTATCTATTATTATATGTCTAAGTATATGTGGACAAGATTGTATTCGACTGTATTCAAATTAATACTGCAACTAACTGTATACAGAATCTAATCATGTTATATATATTCAACCTATGTTTTATAATATAGCTGACTATATAGTTGTATTCAGATGTATTTTGACTAGTTATATATATAACTCAGGCACTGTCTATAATAAATTGTCAAAGTATATGTGGACAAGGTTGTATTCTAATGTATCCAACACATTACTACAACTAAATGCATCCAGAATCTATTCACGAAAGGCATTTTAGAAATTATTACTTGACAATGAGAATTTATTACTTGACAATGTCATCATAATTATTGACAAATTGTTGAAGCACCAATACATGTCAGAGTGTTAACTAAATTCTACGTGGAGCATTTCTACACATTCGCCTGTTATGTCCTCCCTGCCCACATGTGCTACATGAATGTTGATTTTTCGGCTGCAGCAACTCACTTAAAGGTTTATCACGCTTCTTCTTTGGCCTTCCAGGAGGTTTTTTCCATTTGGGTGGTAGTACAACCTCCTCTGCAACATGTGTTGGTATGTTCCAGTCATTTCTGTCCGGTAGCGGTTACACAAGCACATCGTATGTCATTACAACAATATTTGGTTTGCAATAGTTAGAGCAATACTCTTCTGGCATTAGAAACTTGCTCTTCAATACAACCCAAGCATGTGAGCATGGTAATTCATCAACTTGAAACCTCCCACAAACACATTTTCTCTCTAACAGGCAGATTGTGTAATGCCTCCCTCCATCGTTAACCGTATGTAAGTATTCAGTTGATGGTACCACCTACATTTAAAAATAGAAATATAATTGTTGAGCACATATAACTGAATTACCGTATGTATTATGCTGAATTACTCAGTTACATACAACTGAAATATTTGCATACATAAGAATATATCATATATTTTGACCGGCAGACTATAAACTATAATTACGTCTTATCTTATGAATACTATTACATACATCAAAAATCGGCTGTACTTTAGGCAACTGAAGTGTAACAAAAACATTAGAAGGCTACGACATGACAATACATATTTAAATTATGTATAATACAGATTTGTTTGTTGTATTCTGATGTATTTGAATAGTTTTTGCAACATGTTTTTAGTTGTATTCAGTTTAGTTCAACTCAGATCTTCGATAAAATATGTCTTGTATGTGTTTGAATTTAGTTATATTCATATGTATTCATGACAGTTGTATTATAAAAAATGTTTGTATTCAGATGTATTCATGTCAGTTATTTCAGAAAATAATTAAGCTATCTAATACAATGACATTAAAATAAAACTTACAGTCATGCGTGTAGACATTGCCTCATTCAAAGTCAGCATCTCTGGTATTTTTTCCAAGCGTTGTGTATGTTTGTGTAGCTTCTTTGCGGTTTCTACAATTCCAACGTCTAAAAATCTTCCTAACTTCTTCGAGGAAGTCGTATATTGACAATTCCCTTGCTGACACTAGTGCGGCATTGATTGACTCAGCAATATTTGACGTCATTGTCCATCCCCTGTTAACAGGGGCATACAACCTAGCCCACTTTACGTATCCAGCTAACTCTAAGTATTCTTTTACTCTAATATCTACCTTCTCCACCTTCTCCATCAGACTGTCAAATTCAGCTTGTGTGTATGATTTTTCCATCGAGAAGTATATCTCGCTCAACTTGGCATGGCTCTTTTTGAATTTTTTATATACGTTGTTCCATAGATGCCATATACAAGCAAAATGCGGTACATCTGGATACACTCTCGATACAGATTTAATGATACTCTCATTTCTATCTGAAACGATGCACATGTTTTCCCTGTCATCGTATGCTATCTTGAATTTCTCAAAGAACCACTTCCAAGCAGCATCGTTCTCTGAATCAATAACACCATATGCTAGTGGCAATATATGACCTATAAAGACAATTGAATATATATTTTTAAAACATGTATTTCAATCTTTAAAATATTAACAGATTGTATTATAATCAGGTACTCACCTGCACCATCCAACGTGCTTGCCGAAACGAATGTCCCGGTGTAGTAAGATTTTAGGTGACTTCCATCTACAACAACAATGGGTCTACAATGATCAAACCTCTTTATAAAGGCATACAAAGATATATACACATACATGAATTCATTTTTGGGCGATTTTACCATCCTGATATGGGAACCTGGATATGTCATATCCATTGTATATAAGTATCCTGCTAATTTTTTGTATGAATCAGCCGGTTCACCTCTCAAAAAATTCATTGTCTTTTCTTTAGCCCTCCACGCCAACATTGTAGCTAACATCTACACCTAAATCTGATTTCACATCATCAATAATATCCTTTGGGGTATATTTTCTCTTATGATTAGTAAGCTTAGGCCTAATCATACCACCAATAAGGCTGCTACTTGCATGCCGCTGCTCATACACCTTGTCCTTCAGTGGACATGTATGGTTATCAATGAACTCTCTCAGTTTGAATAGTTCTGATTTGTTAATGCTTGAAGCCTTAAACCTCCATTCACAATCTTCTGAAATACATAATAATGCATAGCTGCAAAGAATTAATCATTGTACATATGATTAACATAAATGTTTACAAAAAAATGCACTCATATACACACAAATACAATCTGACATAGATACATTCTGACATCTATATATATAATTTTTTATACTACTGAATTCAATTATAGTTATATGCATTTAAATACAATTAATACAACTGAATACAATTATGGGTATATGCATACACTTAAAACCACAATAGACAAAATAAGAAAATAATTAGAGACATTGTAATGTAATTATACCAGTAAAATACATATGAATACATGTATTTAAGGATCATAAACAAACATATGTTAACGACATCAGTGATAATCAAGAGGAAATCCACAAATATGCATAAATACAACAACGTTAAACTTACAGCTCGAACCAATAATAGAAAATACAAAACAAAAAATTAAATACATGCAAACCTAACAACATTAGACCTATCAACCCGGAATTGAAACCTTTGAGATATATCATAATTTTCCATCACCTCTTTCAATGTAGTCTTATTCTTATACACTTGTCCAGCCATAACCTCCGTTTGATTAGTTTTTGAAATTATCAAATCCTTGTCTAGTTCGAACACCCAAATTGCTTCTCCTGAATGGACAAAATCTAGAGTCAGTGTATCATCTATATCGGAATCGTACCTTTGAACTGCTTCGTCTATTTGCACAATGTCGCCTTGATTTAAACTACCTCCGAATACAATTTCTTTTTCAATAGTTGTTATGCACAAATGATACATCCCGAATTCTCTATTCTCTTTTTTCAACTCTACATACACTCTGTAACCCATATCATTATGTATTTCCATTGGCATGCAATTTTCTTCTACTTTGTATTGAATTTTAATGGACTTTGAGCTCAAATCTATGCCCAGTTGACTAGAAATTGAAGCAACCAAATCATTAAAGGACGCATACTCCTTTATCAGTATTCCCTCAATTGAAAAATTGACGTAATTGCCCTCATCGTTCCACTTGCCAGAATGATGCAACAACACTGTTAAACTTGCCATATGTATGAAGGAACTATATCGTATTTTCTATATAATTTGTATCAATCTAATTTTTCGTGGTTGAATTGATATCTACGAACAGAGAAAAGGGAGAAGTGAATGGAAGAACTTCGAACAGATGTTGCTCTTGTTTTCGCTACTTTTTTTTTTTGAATCGTGTATGGCAGAATACAGATTAATGGGTAATAGTTTTTGTTCGTTGAGTTAAATTAGGAGAATATCATGTGATTTGATTTTCTTTCCGTTTTTAACTAGTTTAACCTTCCAGATTTTATGCAGATATGTTACTGTATTCACGATAAGGCTGCGTGAATACAGTTAAATACATATCAACCTTAGCTGGAATTTCCTTTTTAACGCCTATTTTTTCTATTGTATTAATGAATACAATACCTTAAATACATCAAATACATTGTATAAAAATATAGAAGGTATCTAAACACGTAATATAGAAAAAGGTATCTATAAATGACTAATTAGACATAAAAGATGATGCTTTACGATAAAATTCTCTTGTTTTAACTAAGAAAAATTTCAACTTTCTTGTGAACGCTTAGGTATACTGTCTTAGAAAAAGTTAATACCAAAAACTGGAAGAGAGATTATTGGAAACTGAATTGATTACCTCATATTAGGGATTCACGTGCTAGATTACTTATGAAGTTCCTAAAGAAAAAAAAGTTAAAAAAATATCGATCGGCAAAAAGTTATAAAAGAAATACTAATTTGTTTACATCATTCCTTAGTATTTTAAGACCTTTTGTCAAAGATAAGAAAAATCAAGTTGAAGACATGTTGTACAAAAATCATGTGTTCTTTGTGTATTAGCATCCTGTGAGTCCCAACCATATAAGGATGTTTTTTGAAATACTAAACTAAATTTATTTGATAGGATGTTCTAACAAAATTTACAAATAAAAAAGTAAATTCATGACTGATTTATCTAAAAAAATAAAAGACATTAGTTATTTTGTTTCATTTTTAGTTTTAGAAAATGGTAGAATACTCCATTTTCGATGTTATATGGATTAAAACATACATTAAGATATAAATTTCTAACATTTTGAAAATAAATTTTACAGCAAAAGTAATATGTCAAAATGCTTTTAAATCATATTTTATCAGCTCTTACTCTCTCGTTGTGTAGCACCATGTTAATAATTGAAAAAATAGTTTAACATGCATTTTTAGAAAAGAGAAAAGAAAGTCTAAATCAAGAAAAGTAACTAATATTCTTTTCATTTTTTATATATTTTGTATGACGGAAACATCTAAAACATTATTTAAGGTATCAAATTTTAAAATTTGACTTTATTCTACATGCTATATTAATTTACGTGTAATTTTTTAGTAAAAGAACAACAACAACAACAACAATAACAACAACAACTATAATAAATCCAGTGTAATTCCCAAAAAAGGATCTGAGGAGGATAGTGTGTACACAGACTTTACCCGTACCTTGTAAAGATAGAAATGTTGTTTTCAATGTTTCTTGAACCAAAATAATTTGCAATAATATTGTAGCTCAAAGAAAAATATGATATTAAGAAATTAACATAGTTTATATTCTAAATAAAATACAAAAAATAAAAATAAAAAAACAAGAAATTTTGATAAAAGGGAAGCCTAAAGTAAGAGGTGTAAGCTTATAAAAACTTATATTAGAATCACATAATTACGTTTGTTATACATTAAGAATTTGTTAAATCTGAACATAATTAACCAATCAGTAATCATAAAAATTTAAGTATACAATATTGTTGCACCTCATGTAACTATTAGTATCTCGGAAACCACCTTGTACATAAATCAAATAAGAAATAAATAGCGTCTTAAAAACTCTAAGTTTTTTAAGCTCACCACAAATGAGAGGAACAATATTTTTTGTTTTTTTCATACTCTTTTTATTGGACAGTTATACCTAAAAGAAATTCAATTTATCATCATGCACATATAAATCAAAATATACGCGGTCGACAGTTAAAATACACATTACTTTTTAATCCGCTAATACTCAAATTTTAGTTGGAGAAAAATTATTTATCCAGTTATTCTTGTATGCAAAATATTCGGATGTTTGAGATTGAGCTTGGGCCCGGGCGTAGCACGGGCACATCATCACTAGTATTTACACAAAGAAGTGCTCTAAAAATTTAGAGCTTACATATCATGGCCCTGATCTTTAGTCCCCAAAACAAAATGTTCAAAAGTCAACAAAAAAAAAACTAAAATTATTTGAAATATATATATATATATATATTTCAAATAAAAAACCAAATTTTGGCGGGAATCGAAAAGCTGCTAGAAAAATTAATGTCGTATATTGAAAAATTAGAAGAAGTTGATCTCTTCAAACCAATGAAGCTACTTCACTCCTTGCCTTGATAGTTGATACACAAACCAGCAAAAAGGTGCCATTAATTGACTCATGACGAAAAGAAGAAAATCTCTAGTTCTTATTGAAATTAGACACCAGGTCAGTTTTGACTATATTTTCTACGTACTAATATATATAGTCCAACGATCTCCAACCCTTTAATAAGACTGCTTGACAGAACAAGCCACTGCCTGTGCCCAATGCCTCAACTTTGTCTTAACTTGTTGAGGATCATCACCTGCATGCACATATAAGAGTTAGCATTTGGAAATTACTTAGATAAGAGTTATTGCATCAATAATTAATTAATTAGCATTTGTTCTGATGTCAAAGGGATATGATTCACAGTTGTTCTATCTAGTCTAGATTATATAAGAATCATAACCTTTTCATTATAACAATTCTGACCTTTACATTTGACTTTCTTAGCCTACATAAGAAGCATAACCTAGACGTTATTTATTTCCTTCATCATTGTGTGTGTACTCTTATATAATTTCTCCATTTTCTCATTGTTTTAGCTTTAAATTAAAGAAAGAAAAAAAAAACTATAGAAGCCTAATTACCTGGGCTACAAATCTTCCATGCATCAGCAGGATCACTCCTAGTGCTTCCAAATGACGAGGATCTAGCTCCAAGTCCAAGAGAATTTGATGAACCTGGAGAGGATAAGGAACCTTTATGGCTACCTGCAATGGTGTAGCCACACAAAAGGCACAGCGGTCATTTGNATATATATAAAATCGTGTACATCATTAATGAAATTCCTGATTTCGCTGGCTACCTGGGGAAGATATAGGGCTCGTCGAATATTGGCGATTCACTGCAAAATAAAGATCTAGCGCCGGCAACGTGCTACACAGCCTCTGCCCTTCTTCTTCGTTAAATCCAAACCCTAATTCTATGAAACCTTTGAGTTCGTTGAGGTCCTCGTCGGTCACATCGTCATGATCTTGAATCCCAATTATATTCTTTTTCCTCTCTTGATGGAGAAACTGACGACGTCGTTTCTCCCATGCAATGTCACGTGGAATCTCGCACATGGAAAGTTGCTTCGATAACCTCTTGTTAGGGTTCCTCCAAAAGGGTGGTGCCTCTTCTAAACGCTGTAACTCCTCGCATTCTGATAATTCACTCGAAGACGACGATGGTGATGATAAATGTTTCTCCTGGTCCGCATGAGTAGTATTAACCTCCCCCATGTTGAATAGTCAGATCAAGATATTCGACTTTTCACATACAGGGAAGGTTAATTTTAACAAAAACAATATAAACAATGATAATACAAATCGTACAATTAGTTAAAATAATTAGACTTTTGGTGAAGAATGATGGAAACAAAAATAGGCTGCCATGGCGGGGTTAGAAAAATGACCGCCTTGGCTAGCCGTTAAAAATGTGTGCGGTGAACAAGATAGATTATACAGGTCGATAGGCTATGGCTTTAATTTCTTTAAGGAAATGGAAATTTTGGCTTTTATTGTATTGTAAAAGGAGGGCAATGGCATGCACTAAGGTTTAGAAAGAGTTTAATGTGGGAATACTAAGGGATGTACAGCCATTATTTGCGGCCTTTCCCTCTTTAATTTGCAACTCTCCATTCATTTGTAACGGCTAACGGTATTCAAGAAAACTTGCTTCTTACATTTCTTGCATAAATGACTCGTTAGTCATTACGTTTAAGAAGATTCTTTTAATAAGCTTGCTTATTTTTATCAAAAAGATGAAGTACTCAAATTAAGGCGTAATATTTGGCATGTTCCAAAGGCAGCCGTCACACAAGATATCCTACAAAGGATATGCAAGCGTTAATGGCTGCTTCCACGGCTCGAATTCCTCGCTTATAGGTCAACTTTACCACTGTTCCAAGGTCCCCTTCTTATGTATTGGCATGTTCCATTTGGATTAAATTCACATAATTTATCAGTCTTCCTTTTAATAAGTTCGTTTATTTATCGAAATTATTGCTCGACGACTGTGTATATAAACGTAAAATAGCACTGCAACTAATATTACATACTCCAGTAATTAGCGTCATTTATCTTAATATACATGATTAATTAGTATCAACAGCTTATTTAAATCATAAATAACCTTCCGTCTTCCAAACAAAATAAGCCGTCGTTATTTTTAGTGCTTGGGATTAAATTTGTAGTAAAATTTATAAAAGATAAGAAACACTGAAAACCAAACTGGGCAAGGAAAGGCTGGAAAATTGATTGCTGGAATTGCTATTTAAACTGTGCAAGCAATCCAAGTGTCATTTTGCGAATCCAGACGCTTTAAATAACTGAAATGATCTCCAATTCCGGAAGTTTAATTATCAGGTAAGAATACTATCGATTTTTTATATATGACAAACGGAGCTAGTTGGCATATTAAATCCTATCGATTAGCGTTTAGTATGTTAACTAATTTAGATGATGTGAGCAAGTTTGCATGTAATAGAGTAAGAGTGATCGTTCAACTCTATAGTTGATATAATTCAAGGATAATATAAATCTTTAATTATTAATAATTAATTAAACTCTGAAAAAGTACAAAAATATAGTAGGGCACTACTTTGTAGACTGTGACTAAGGTTCCTTAATTGATCTCTTCAATAAATAATTATAATATTTGTTTAATATAATAAAAATGGATATATTTGACATATGCATTTTAAAATGTGAGATATTTGCATTTGGTTGTAATATTCTTGACTAGAAAAAATATGATTTCATAAATTCACCTAAATCTTTTATAATCACGTGAAATGCAAACAAATTCACTAGTCATATAATAAAAAGTATATAGTTTCCTTTAATCAAATAATAACACTACTTACTTTAATAGAAATTATTAGTAGCCATGTGCATATTACGAATTACGTACTAGACCACGGAGCCATCATAAATTTCACATGCATCTCACAAAACTAATGGATCTTAAATCAGGTCAGATCATCATTAATTTTATAGGAATTACTAGAATACTTCTTGGTCAAATTATTTTAGTTTAAATATTTTTTGGGAGATGTGAGAGTAAAAGAAACTTTAAATAAGATATTTCATTTGTAATTAAAAACGAAGACTTGCACTTGCAAGAGTTGACCCCAACGAAAAGTTAAGCAAGAAGTAAAAGTATTTAAAAAAAAAGCGAATCAAAATGCATTTTTTGGAGAGGTCTATAAATTGTGTTATTTGGAAAGGAATGGGATATCCTTATACAAATATTCACAAAGAGCAAAGTATTCTTCTTAGTATGGCATTCCTTAAGCTGAGTTTGATTCTGGCTACTCTTATCATGGCAGCCACTAGTTAGTATTTCATATTCTATCTCTATTTATCTTTGAATTGTACTTTTACATTGCTGCATTTGCCACATATATGTATGTACTTATACAAATTTGCACGAGTTTCATACGCATGTATGCCTGTTATAAGGATATACATGTAATTTTATGCATGACGTTTAATTGTTGTTCATTTTCATATTTTATCGATCATTCTCTTATTTGATATGATGAAATATTTCAGTGAATGCGCTATGGTCCTCAAATACAAATGTCGTTGCTGCACGGGATGTTGATTATGATATTTCAGGAATCAAGAGGAGGATAATGCCGCAACTTAATACTTGTGGGAGACTTTGTATTTCAACTGTTGATTGCGGTGATTGCATAATTTGTTGTACCTGTCGTGCGTCGCCTATTTACGATGAATCTCTATGTTTCGTGTAGGTAGAGTGCAGTGACAATGAACTCTAGCTATTAAATCCATATTACGGATTAGTGTTTTCATGTTAATTTCAACATTTCCTTTCTTATTTCTTTGTCTTTGATACTATGTACGAATAATAAAGAAGTCAAGTGAGTGGCTTTTTTTCTCAAGCAGGAAATATCTTGTTTCATGCATGTATGCATGATTCATCGTAAATTTATCATATGAAATCTGTGGTAGGTTTCCTTTTTCTATTCTTTATTTAAAAGCAGGTAGCTTTCAGCTTTCTTTTTACATGTCATCAAATTTAAGCCTTTTCGTAACTTTGTTTTTTGTTCGAAGAAGAAGAGCACCACCGCGAGAAGAACTTCAACCAGAGTGGTTTGAGCTGATTTCGGAGGTGTTAAATGGATTTGGATTTGGAGAGAAAAGCAAAGGAAAAGATTAATGTTGACCCTCTTTTCTGTTAATGTTTTTAAAACTGTCGTTTGCTTTATGTTTTATATAATAGTAGTACTATAGTAGAAGAAATAATGTCAATTACAGATCTCAAAATTAAAAATTATTTTGACGTACAAAGCATAACAGAAAGAATCCTAGCGTGCATATCAGCTTTTAAAATGGGAATCATATTCATCAATTTAACTGAACACAGATGGTGCATGCAAAAGTAATCCTGGGCCTTAGGAAGCAAATAATTTCCTACTCTACAAGCACAAATGCATAAATTCTAGTCTTAAAGAAGAGATACACTTAGTTTCTATAGAAAAATCTCTTGCCAATTGAGATTGAAAGAGATTGCAAAAAAATAGTTACCATGTTAAAATTGTTTGACCAAAAAGTATTAGGCCTTTTTGTTAAACTAATTAAATAAGAAGATAGAGGGTAAATCCTAGTTAAGGATAATTAATTCTAGATCTGAGATGGATAACACGATCAATAGAAAAATATAGTTGAGTACAAATGTTGGTAGTATTTATGGCTGGATCTAATAGTAATGCCATGCATTAAATAACATTAAATGACAATAAAATGCAAAATAAAGGAGAAGATTCACCCAGTCTTGAGTGAGGCGGATCCTCTTTTATTTTGATAGAGATGAATGATAGACAAATACAAGAATTTTAGGACCTTTTTCGGATCTAATGGGGAGTGTGAGATAACAGATAATCTAATCTCTTTAGAGAGATGTGTTTTTTATCTTTTCTAGAGATAGAGGGTTTGCTTTTTTAGAGAAGTCCCCCCTCTTTGTTTCCTCCTTCTTCCTATTTAGAAGGGATATCCCTAGAAAATCCTAAAAAAGTACAATTAGAGAAAATATTCAGTAGAACATTCCTTTTGAAGATTCCAAAGCAAAACTAGCCGTTATTTCTATTTGTACTGCTCGACCTTGGCCTTGTTAATGATCACTACTCGACTTCGGCCTTATTGGTCACTGCTCGACCTCGGCCAAACAGCTCAATTCGATTCGCAGGTTACTCATGACAATTGTCTCCGCATGTCAAATTTCTCTGATTCGATTTTGACTCAAACAGTTAGTCCCTCTGTTTATCAAGGTCGTCGTTTGGTTGATCTCGGTGAGCGAACTTCATTAATCGTAGTTCGAGAAATTTGGATGGGGAGGTCGAGTAGTGAGGATCGCCACTGAGGGTGTCGATCTTCAGGTCCAAGTGGTATCCCTGCGGGCTGAATTTGAGCAATGTTCGACCAGGGCCAATGACTCGAGTGATGAGTTGATCGAGAAGACGGTAGAGTTGGAGAAGGCCAACGAGGCCAGGATGGCAGCTTTGGAAAGTAGGGCGCCATCGGAGGAGTTCATCCGCGTCCTCCGATCTGGACGGGCGATTCGGCCCTTATAAGATGCCTTATCAGGTACCTCCTTTGATTTGGAATGCTACTTTTGTTGCTTATTTCTGATTCTATTTTTGGAGCAAGGTCGAATGCAGATTCGAGCGAGGTCGAATGCAGATTCGAACGAGGTCGAATGCTGATTCGAGCGAGGTCGAATGCTGATTCTAGCGAGGTCGAATGCTGATTCGAGCAAGGTCGAATGCAAGCTTTGGCCGAAATACGGGTGAGCTTCATGCACTCATGCTTTGCCTACATATATCGGAGAGATTTACATGTTTTCTGGGTTGGCAATCCAGTCCTAGTCTATATGGTCTCTTGGCATCTTGGGATTTGCTTTGATGACGATCGTTCCCTGTTCGCGTATCGGGGAGAATACTCCTGCTTTTATTTCACTTAGAGAAATAGTCAGTTAAAACCAAATGAAATCGTTCGTTACCTCGATTTGATCGGTCAACGAGTGGAGGGGAGTGACCACATTACCTTCTCCAGTTATGTTTTTAGTGGCCGCTACCAATTTGGCAAGGCCGCCTGCTTCGATATTCTGTGCTCGAAAGATTTGGTCAAGCTAGCATTCATCGAACTCGAGTAACAACTTGCAGATCTCGGCCTGGTGTTTTTGCAGTCTTTATTCCTTGATTTGGAAAGTCCCTGTGAATTGCTTGACAACGAGCTGAGAGTCGCACCGTAGGATGACTCGTTTTGCTCCGTACTCGAATGTTAGCTTTAAAACCGCAATCACGGCCCAATCTCATGAATACCAGATATATCACGCTCCATCCAACTTTTAAATGCCTCTATCGTTGTTGGCCATAGGGATTGGCCGGTCCAACACGCTGTTTTTCGGAAGCCGGTTGAGAGAAAAATACGTAGCATTCATCTTCCATTGCTTTAATGACACGTTCAGGGACACCATGGTTGATGACTTTGAAGAAACCAAAATTTTCAGAGGCTTTGATAATGAGCTTTGACACTTCCGATCTCTCGCCCAAAAGGTCTATCATAGGAAGCTCAACGTCACGCAATTTTTCTTTATCTTGGCGGCTAGACGGCGGAGAACGCTGATGAGCCACCACCATGTTGAAAAAAGCAGTATAGCCAGAAGAAAGGATAGTAGTAAAAAAAGGAATGAAGAGAATCATATGTTACGTACTCTCCATATGTACCAAGAAACAGAAAATGGGTAAGAATTGATTTTTAGAGATCTAGAGAAAACTAAAATTTTAATTAGAAAATTCTCACAGCGGCGTCAAATTGTTTGACAAAAAAGTATTAGACCTTTTTGTTAAACTAATTAAATAAGAAGATAGAGGGTAAATCCTAGTTAAGGATAATTAATTCTAGATATGAGATGGATAACATGAAGAGAAAAATATAGTTGAGTACAAATATTGGCAGTAGTTATGGCCGGATCTAATAGTATGAAAAAGACCACGTATTAAATAACATTAAATGGCAATAAAATGTAAATAAAGGAGAAGATTCACCCAATCTTGAGTGAGGCGAGTCCTTTTTCATTTTGATAAAGATGAATAATAGACAAATACAAAAATTTTAGGACCCTTTTTGGATCTAATAGGGAGTGTGGGGTAACAGATCATAAAATCTCTTTAGAGAGATGTGTTTTTTTATCTTTTCTAGAGATAGAGGGTTTGCTTTTTTAGAGAAGTCCCTCCTCTCTGTTTCTTCTCTCTTTCTATTTATAAGGGATATCCCTAGAAAACCCAATACAATTAGAGGGAATATTCAGTAGAATATTCCCTTTAAAGATTTCAAAGCAAAATTAGCTGTTACTTCTATCTGTAATGCTCGACCTCGGCCTTGTTAATGATTACTACTCGACCCCGGCCTTATTGATCACTGCTTGATCTCGGCCTTATTGATCACTGCTTGGCCTTGGCCTTATTGATCACTGCTCGACCTTGGCCTTATTGATCACTCCTCGACTTCGGCCAGACAGCTCAATTCAATTCGCAAGTTACTCATGATAATTGTCTCCGCATGTCGAATTTCTCTAATTCGATTTTGACCCATACAAAAATGGCAACACTCATTACTCGGATATTAGGATTGTAGGTTGTTAATGCTTGAGGTAGAAAATTAGAGGACGAAGCATGTATTCAAGAAAAACAATATAGTGGTACATGACTTAGCAAAATGTGGAAGAACCATGCAAATTTTTGAGAGCTTAAGTATCTATGATTTTTTTCACCTACTTTTGTATGTCTTTTAGAAATGATGATTGTGTATCCTGGACAAATTAAGTTGTGTAATTGAATCTAATAATGTTAATAATATTATTTTTTCTACCAAAAACAAAATCACAAAAGGAAACGTATAATGTTCGAGGATTATTTACTGCACGACACAACTAGTTGGTCCAAAGAAAGTCGTATCACAAATGGTATTTGGGTTCAATTTATGGAAATCTACATCCAATTTAGGCCAAATTAATTACGAAACTATTTAAATAAGAGATTTTTACCTTTCTATACGCTATTTGAAATCGTATTACCCTTTCTACTCAAGTTTTAATTTAATTACATGGTCATATACAATTTACCAATTATATTCAAATAAGTTTTAAATGAGTATCCCTTTATAATAGGATATGGATAAGGAATATTAGTTATTTCCTTATCCCTTTATACTCTCTCTCTATCTCTCCGTCTCTCTGTCTCTGTCTCTCTCTCTCTTCGTCTCTCTACTCTCCTTCTCTGGTTTTTCCCCCAATTTTACTTCATTTGAGCTTTGAGGTTCTCTGTTTTTTTATGAGTTCTTGTTGTATAGAGTTTTAATGGAATTCATCAATAGATTTTAATCGTTTTAACTTAACAATTTTCTTTCATGTTGCACAATTGGTGTTCAAATTGAAATTGTCAATCAATAATTTTGAAGGTGTTTGACTCTCCACCATTGACAACTATTAAACATCTTTAAAGTTTTGAAATCGAATTTGAGTTTTCAAAAACCATTATTTGTTTGGATTGGGTATTGTTGCAAATAATTGGGAATAATATTTGGAGTTTATAACTCATTTTTGAGGGTGTTTGGTGAAGATTAGACTTGATTTTGGCTGAATTTCATATTGAAACTCGAAGAAGAAGAAGACGTGACATACAATATACTTACGACATTTGTCACGAATCCAGACCCAGTCGTGATGGCGCCTCTCTTGAAGACAAGGCCAACTGACACACACCTAATTTATTTTAAGCCATTAAAATAATATAAATTAAGTCTTTAACATAATAATAATCCCAAAATAAAGGTGAATAATACAATTTGCGGAATAGACATAGCCCGACATCGGGGTGTCACCAGTCATGAGCATCTACTAACCGATTAAAACAGGAAGAGTCTACCTAGTCTATTACAAAACTAAAACAAGAGAAAATAAGATAGAGGGAGAGGCACTAGGCTGCGAACGCCGAGCAACTACTTAG